AGCCTGGGGCTTTCGAACTCGAACAGGAGTTCATCAACTGAAACTGTTGGAGTGCAACGACGTGTGAACATTTATACCATTGTGCCGTGAGGGGGAGGGGAAATTATGTCCGTGGCTAGGTCTGGTTTGTGCTGCCTGGCACACAATGGTCCCCCGGCGTGGTGACGGCGTTTATACGTCGCGGCGATGTGAGCTGCGCCACCTGGCTGCGTGGGCGCAGCGCGTGATAACACGGGGGTAAGTCAATATGTCTATTGATGTGGTGTCGCCGTCTGATGAGGGCACGTATGCCAGAAGTAGCCATTTGTTTGTTTTTTACTCTGTCAGTAACACTTCTCGACTGACTAGGAGACTTCAACCATATAGCCTAATTTGGACGTACCCCCCTCCCCTCTTCGACCCGACCAGGAATTTTCGCCGAAGTTACGAACACAGGCCAACGTTATCGACTTCTGGGTTATGCGCTTTCATTAGCACCTGCAAATTTGTCCCTTGGGTGACTCTTCGTCAGCTTGTCTCGCATTTAAAACACCTTCTTTTGAATGTTCTGTTTTATTTGCTTAATAGAGAAGTGAGACTGTAGAAGACCTTTTATCTCCTCTATGACGCCAGTTAACAAAATCGAGTATTTCATATTGACCCAACTGTGAAAAACTCGGCGCCTCGGTGGGATTCGAAGGGGAAGGCTTTATTATAGCCAACGCTCTAACCACTTGAGCTACGAGGCCCCGCCGGACGACGCGAGTTTATTCATATTTGGGTCAAGTTACCCACCCAACCTACTGCAACGTCTGGAATCCAACAAATCTGATACAGTAAGCTAACTGTCCAAGCAGGATTTCCTAATTAATTCACCTAGAATCCACCAGATGACTACCAGGCTCGCGTTCGTCCGGCGGGACCTCGTAGATCAAGTGGTTAGAGCGTTGGCTGTACTAAAGCCTTCCCCTTACTGCGTGGGTTCGAATCCCACCGAGGCGCCGAGTTTTTTACAGTTGGGTCAATATGAATAATTCAAAATCTGCCAAAACATCCATGAAAATCGAATATGTAATATAGCTGAAGACCTTCTGTTAAGTGATTGACAAGGCCGAACGGTGTTGACAGCAAACTCATTGTGGAAACACGTCTTCTTGCCCTAGCGTTTGTTGGAAGACCTGGTTAAGGACATTTTACTATCGGCTGGTGTGCGCGGGAAAGACCTGTCGGTGGTGTTTGTTTCTGCTACTGAAATGCACCCCGGCACCCATCTAGGACACACATATAGTAAGGTGCTCTTCTTCCTCAGTCCTCTCCTAGTAAGACCGTGCCTAATATGCGTATATTTGTGAGCGCGCGAGAGGCACACGTAAACGGATGCTTTGCACTAGATGCTATGCTTGACCTCATCCACGGTTCGCCTGCCTCGAATCGATAAGGGTTTCGAAGGTCAATGTGAAAAATTCATGCTACTCAAACAGTGCTTTTTTCCTACTGCGGTTTTAACGGGAGGTTGAAAACAAGTGCATTCAAAAGCCAACATCCTGGCGACTCCAGACTATTACGGGAATAGGCCGCATGATAATTATTATCACAACCCTTCCTGATTTATGTGTTCACGTCTATGCTTCCAGCGCTGAATCGTCAGATTTCGATGATTTCTGTCAAAAATTTAGCAACCACCGGAAGTTATTGGACCATCGCTTCTACCTGGCCACTGAAACTCAACGATGGCCACCCATTGCCCGTGGAAGTCTGAGAACTTCTCAATTTTAAATTCATCCGCGTCCAACCGCTCGCAACAACTCGTCCATCGACCATTGCCTGTGGGGGGGAGGGTGGGCGTGGTGATTGCAATCGGAGTGGAATTTTGCGCATCATCCCCTTTCCACATCCGTGATGTTCTTGTGGCGAGACTGTGTCGAGGAGACTGCGGATTGACTGGTCATTTGTTCCAGCCCCCTGCATATCACTTACATGCTGATCTTGGGCCCGATGGGAAGCAGACTTTACTCCCAAAAAGGAGTCATTTGAGTGTAGCTCACAGTCCTCACGTATAAACATGGTAAATAAGGCTTCGGATTCGACCGCTGGCTGAGAGGTGCCTGCATTCTTTCGAATGAGAGAAGACAAAAAGTATCTACTACTATGACTAATACTACTCACAGCTCCCCGTCAGCAACTCCTAGCTCAGGTGGTTAGGACGCAGGCTGTACCCAATCCTTGCCGTTACTCTCCTGGGTTCACAGCTCATTGAGGCTGCCGGGTTTTTCATAGTTGAGTAAAACGTATTATTCCAGTCTGCCTAAATGCCTACTCCCATAGTGCACAATCTCAAAGTGTCTCACAATGGCGATCTTTAGGCCATGTTCAAGTTAACCGGCTCCCTTCCTCGGTCACGTATCCAACGCCTACGTGAGAAGTGTCGGGTGACGGTGATGCAAACAATGGACGACCTAAATCGACGCGAGGCCGAGTACCGTGATCGCCTGGAACTAGAACAACAACAACAACAGCAGCAGCAGCAGCAACAACAACAACAGCCAGGAGTGGGCGATCCAGAAACAGGAAAGGTTACATCTGAGGAAGTCAGGACTGAGGAGAATAACGTGGAGGGTGGGGAGGGTGTTCACGACGATCCCTCAAAGACCACTTGCAATTCGAATGGAGACCTTGGACCGGCACCCTCCCTCGTACGCTCCACTGTCGGTTAATGTCTCCGTGGCGTCGGTTTTTATTCTAGTCAACATGACACACCCGTCCTCCCCCCCCCTCCGCCTGTCAAAATGGTCATTTACAACCATCGCCGCCTCATCACCGCCCAGGATATCCCAGGCAGCCCTTCATCATTGAAAGGCTCTCCTCTAATTTAGATATGTTTTGTTTGCTCTTTCCAGCATATCATTTTCTTTCCCCCTACTCTTTTTTTTCTCCCATCATCGCCACTGCCACAGTATATTTCCCTAAGTACCCTTTGAGTTGGGGGCCAGATTATAACTCTCTCCAGGAATGATTTTTGTTTATGATTTTTAAACGCTCCTTGGTAGGGGTTGATGCGTATGTAGACGTATTTTTTGTTACTGTATGTCACAGCGAACGCGCAATCCTTGATGCTCTTGTGTATGTCTTCTTTTCGTAATTTCCTTTGTTTTCGGCGTAGGAAGAAGTATTCGAAAATTAAAAGGAAGTACTGTTTTCTGCTCTCAAAGCTGTTGCTCATCCTCTTTGGATCGCAGGATGGTTATGTGCATAAGTCCGCGCTGCACAGGGACTCCGCTTTGATGAAAACAAGCGGGCATCTTTTGGCCCTCTACCGGCTGTGCGTACAGATATTTGATTGGCTGGACGGCTTGACCTGGCTAATGAAAGCTGGATAATTGAGGTATCTGGTGTGTGCCGATCTGTTTACCCCGATAATCATTAACGGAAACCTACTCGACTCCTGTGATCTCATTTGGGACTAAAGCGATAATGTAAGAGGACTCCCCTTTCGGCGCTTGAGTATTAGTAAAAGCAACCAGTACTTGTAACTGGGGTTCTCTTGTGAGATTTGATTCGCTGACTACCGATGGCATATTTTGACGGTTAATGGATATCGCCCATGCGACGAAACGAAATGGTCGAAACACCTTATCCATCTGAAGTCTAATGGTTGCGTTCTGATCGGAGTGAATCTGACGGTCGGGCCATAAAATATATATCACGTACATCGTACACCACTCTGGTCGGTCCTCTACGATTATGGCTAGCTGGCCGTACGGATAAAAGGCGAGCGAAAGCTGAAGGATCCCTACAACCGCTTTCTGATAGCTTTCTCTTGAGTGAGGAGTGCAAACTTTCTATCAACCTGGACAGAACCGACAGACTTGCCCGGACATCGCGTGCCGCTCAGGACGTATGAGTAAGGTGGTGTAGGCGCGCTCTTACTCGATGATTTTGATGTTGATGCTCTAAAGTCCACCTCCCCGTCAAACAGGAGACGAAATGCTTTCCAACCGAAAGTTGTCACTTCGTTATAAGTTAGCCTGCTGAGGTGGTCCTTGGGTCTGCAGTGCTTATTCTTCGCCGCCGCAGAGGAGAGCACCCGATCTGTTGCCGCACCTCTTCCAGACGGACCTATTTAGGGACTTCGTCGGGAACAGCAAGATCATTGGAAACCACAATGAGAATATAGTGATTTATGTTCTCACGCGACTTAAGAGGGCAGAATGGTGAGGAACATACAGGGGATAGCAAAATCTTTTGACGGTGGGTGTTTTCCAGCGTTTAAGGGAGGTACCGGTTGCAGCTCTGATTGAATTCGCGGTTAGTCAGAACCTTGACCCTGCTCGTATGTCTACCTGGAGGGCGCCTCTTGTACTTTAAAAGTACAGTACGCCACATTAGGCTCAGATGGGCACGCAGCATTGCTTGCAAACAACTGGGTCTGCTGCAGCGCTTCTCAAGCGAAAAAATTATGTTTGGTCCCTGCCACGACATAACTATTTCTGCTAGAGTAATCCCCCTGTCTGGCAAACTATCGGAGTGTGAAAGGCTGATAGATGAAAGCGTTGGATAACCGGACCTCCGGGTGAGCCCAGAGTCGCTTATAGCATGGACTGAGCCACACGAAATATACAATAATTATCGACTGTATTCATAGTAGCAATCTTTCAACAGTAATAATGATGCGGAAGCACGCTATGGAATTGTGTGAGTTGTAATCAGTCAGAAATTCCGCTTCAGTTTTGCAACGCGGAGGTGGGCTACATGCATATATCCCTTTCTGCGAGAAGGATTTCGATTAAATACGCTTTCTAGTCTACGACCACCTAAGATTGTCGTGTCTGAGTATAAACCACAGACGAAACCGCCTGAACTGGCTGCCGACGACGAAACCATCAGGGCCATGCGACAGCACTCTAGCGGGAAAGCGCCCGGATTAAACGCGGTCCCTGCTGAGATCTACAGGCACGGAACCCCCAATTTGTGGAACATCTGACGGCCCTCCTCCAGGAGATGTGGTGTCAAGGATTTCAAGGATGTCACTATCGTTCATCTACCAGCGCAAAAGGAACTGCCAAATCTGCGACAACCACAGAGGCATCTCCCTTCTGAACATCGCCGGGAAAATACTTGCTCGCATCCTTCTCAACCCCCAGAATAATCACCTGAAACAAGAATTCCTGTCGGAAAGCCAGTGCGGCTTCCGCCGTCATCGCGGAACCACGGATATGATCTTCGTCGCTCGTCAGCTGCAGGAGAAGTGCCAGGAGATGCGGACCCATCTGTACTCTACTTTCATGGACCTGACGAAAGCCTTTGACACGCTGAACCGCGAAGGACTGTGGAAAATCATGAAAAAATTCGGCTGTCTCGAGCGATTCACTCAGATGGTGCGTCAGCTCTACGATGGCATGCCGACGCGCGTCACGGAACACGGAGTCGTCTCAGAGGTCTTTGCATTGACCAACGAAGTGAAACATAGCTGCGTCCTCGCGCCTACCCTCTTCAGTCTCATGTTCACAGCCATGCTAATGGACGCCTACCGTGACGAAGGCCCTGGGATCCGGGTCGCCTACAGGACGGACGGCCACCTCCCCAATCAACGGCTGATGCCCTTCCAGCCGAGTGTATCAGCAACTTCTGCCCATGAACTCCTCTTCGCCGACGACTGCTCCCCCAACGCCACCTCGGGAGGGGACATGCAAAAGAGCATGGACATCTTCGCCGCAATCTGCGACAACCTCGGCCTGGTCATCAACACGGAGAAGTCAGTGGTTATGAATTAACCGCCACACGACGCGGCCTACGTCGCACCCCAAATTCGACGTGAACGGCGCCCAAATGCAAGCCGTGGGCAACTTCACCTTCCTGGGCAGCACCCTCTCTCCCAGCACCAAAATCGATAATGAAGTGGCCCGCGGGGTTTTCAAAGGCAGACAAACCTTCTGCCGTTTGTAAAGCAGTTTGGAATCGGCACGGTTTCCACCTCAACACCAAACTGAGGATGTACAAAGTCGTCATCCTGCCGACGCTGGCATACGGAGCTGAGATCTGGATGGTGTGCCAGTAGCAGACACGAAGACTCAACCACTTCTACCTCGGCTGTCTTCGACGGATATTGAAGCTGAGGTGGCGGAACTGAATCTCGGATACGGACGTACTGGAACGGACAGGAATCCTCAGCATCTATGCCATGCTGAGACAACTGCAATTGCGCTGGAGTGGCCACCTCATGCGCATATACCACGAGAGACTACTCAGAAGACTATTCTACGGTGATTTCGCCACGATTCCCGCCAAGAACTTCTCCCCCTCCTCCACCTCCATTGCCTTAACATCCCCTACAGCGGCCCCAGTAACCACCACCACTATACACTAACCTGACGCACCAACAGACATCAACCTCACCATCGTCAAAGCTAGCAATATGGAGTCGGTCCATGTCTGTCCTAATTGCGACAGCACCTTCACCTCACACATTGGCCTGGTCGGCCACTTGCGAATCTATAGCACAGAGACTCACGAACCAGTGTCTGGAGCACTAATATTCACTCGCCGCATCCGCCTCTATCGTCCACACTGCCCCCGCACATTTACTCACCGCGTGGACCTTCTAGGTCACATGCGTATCAACGAGAGCGGTACTAACCGCGGTCGCGACACATCTAGCATCTCTAGCACATCCGCTGTGTCTAGATCAACCTACACCCCGCCGCCCAGTACACCCATGACCACCGGCTAAACCACACTCAGCACATTTTACACATTCACCTCAGCCCACATCCTCTCGCCAAGCGCGTCCACCATCAGCAGCTCCACCACGGCCACCATCTCCGAAACCGACATTGACACCGCCGACTCCTCCGGTTCCACACTGTCCTCGTACATTCACCCTACGCATCGGCCTGGTCTGTCACTTGTGGATCCATAGCACAGAGCCTGACGAACCAGTGCCTATTAGCCCACACGCGCACTCACGAAAACCTGCGGTAGACAACCGCCGGCTACGCCACAGCATCACACCTTCCTCCAGCCAGATCACGCAAAATCATCATCCAGCACAAGCGTCCGGCCACCACCTCCCACGCAAGTAAGAAGTGTGTGTCTCGGCTCCATCTGCATGCAGCCCCTCTGTTGTATGTGTTTTCTAAAACTCTCCTAGTCCCAACTCTAGAAACAGGAGTTTAGGGCAAGGCCACCTGCAATATGGGGGGTTCATACTCCCGTACCCAAACAGAAGGACTAATCTGACATGTTAAATGATTTGCTTCTCACTGATCTGGCGCCGTTTACAGTGCTGGTTCAGTTTTCTGCCAACAACTCACAAAGAAGGCATTGGGCACAGGAATATGCACCCCGTACCACAGGTGGCCTTGAGTTATATTCCAAGGAGACATTGATTCTCGTGTCCTAGATTTAACCCTAGCACTAACCCTCATCATCCTAACCCAGACACTAGCCCTAAGTCTCCTGGAATTTAGAGCAAGTTTACCTGCGTTACGGGAGGTTCATAATCCTGTGCCCTATCAGAGAAACCATTGAGAAGTTGTCAGCGACAGGCAGAAGGCGATTGGAGATCTATGCATCGCTCCGCGCACCCACTGATACGTCGTTTGCGCCTGGGTTTCCCACTGCCGAATTCCCCTTTGCGGCTGTTCGCAACGGGCGCGATACTTGCTTAGTCGGCTGTTAGCTGCCGACAATTCATGTCCCACATTGGTACGTAGCTTGACGAGTACTTCTTGGAGTTGCCCCACGATATTAGCTATTACAACGAGGATCTTCCACTTGCTTCCCGCAGGACTTTTGTTGCGTGAAGCATCGGACAGTGCCCAGGTAGTACAGCAAAAGTGTCGGAGATACTGACTGAGACTGATGTAGTTCATTCTAGAAGATAGCGAACCATCAAATAGAGTGCATATCTTCCAGGCTATTACAGCAATCTTTCTGCACTGTAGTCGAGCGCTTACTTTAGAATACTGTGTTAAACATTACAAGAGGATTGCAGCGAGTGCATGGTCGAAGTGAAGGTTTGTAACAACTGCTCCGCCCCTAACAACTCGATGACGAAAGATACCATTTTCAAGTGTCTAACTGAAAAGAGAATGAATCCGACCGTTGGCTCGTTTAAATTTCAGTAACTTTGGCTATAATGAGACCATATTCCAGAGGCACCAGGCTGCGTGATTAAGACGTGCACTTTAAATTAAAGTCTTTTTCCAATGACACTTCGTTGCATAAAGAGGCCATTGCCTGTTTCAGCGATGATTTAAGAGGTTTCGTTAAGTTAAGAAAAAAAACATTTTGAGTAATTTTAACAATTAGACAAAGACGTTTATTTAAAATATACAGGTGTGACTTTAGTAGTAACCCCAGTTGGGCCTCTGTTATTTCTAATATATCAAATTGCACCCAAGCCAAAACTCCTAATCCCGCTTTTCAAAATGGTCCCCCAAATTATTCGTGGATTCTTTTTCGGGGAACATAGCATTGTTGCCTATCCTCGACTTCTTTTCTCCCTACCCCGTGGGCACATCTTCCCTCGACGTTTATTTTACAAAGCTGACGGAGGCAATTTTTCCCAGTCTCTGTTTTCTTCTGATCGACCACCCAGGTAACCATTTATCAGGTCACATTGTGGCATTCGCTGCAGTAGGCAATCATGCGTGCACGGACAGTCTAGTCACTCCTTGATGACATACATAAATTGTAGTTTGCCGTCGACAAGAGGCGGAATTCGTGGTTTCATTTCCATTGCCGATTTTTCTTTTGCTGTTTAATCTACCCTCCTTTTTGGTTTGCGCAAGGTTTGAACGATCATACCGTGTGAGGCGATTCGCCGGGGCGTGGGGGGAGGGGAGGAATAGGTAACAATCGGGAGATGGCACCCAAAAAACCAGCCTAACCAAAGCAGTCTGTCTTACGGGACAGGTGGTAATAGGGGTTTTATGGGTGGTGGCTGGTCGGGATGTACGATACTAGCCGACAGAAAGCCTTATTTGAACAGGTAAATGATCGAAGTTGGCCCGCTCTGCGTTCCGTTATTACAAAATGGGTCGCCAAAGGCAGTATAGTGATAACGGACGAGTGGAAGGCGTATAATCGTCCCCCATCAGAAGGTTATCTACATTTCTCTGTTAACCAATCAAAGAACTTCAAGGACCCTACCACCTGACGGCACACCAATGCCATTGAGGCATACTGGAGTAGACTGAAAAGGAAACTCAACGAGGGAGGCCCTGTAGGTTGTCGAGCTGTGTGGGCTCACATAGACGAAGTACAGTATCGTCTTTGGTTTGGCCTCAATGCCATGTCTTTGACAGATGCCTGGGAACTGTTCCTGTCCCATGTTGTGCAGACTTATCCTATTTAAAAGTGCTTTTGTTTTGTAATAAAGTGCCATAAGGCGAATGTATGCCGTATATTCAGGTGTACGTGTGTAACGATGGGGAAAGTTGGGTAACAGCGACCATCGTCCATGTAACCTCATGCGATGTTCGTTCGGCCAGCCCATGTTAGGCCGTCGCGGAAAGTCCAAGTAGTGCGTGAAAGTAGGCCTTCAACCGCTGATATAGTCTAAAGGCGTTTGAGTCCACTGTTGAAGGTATTATTTCTAGGTAATGGAATTTTTGGGTGCCATCTCCCGATTGTTACCGAGGGATAATTCAGATTGAGAAGTGATTCCTTCTTTTGGGTCTGATCACACCCAAATCCCTTTTTTGACTGTCATTTCATTGGCAGCAGTTTTTTTCTCCTGAAACCTCTAAATTATACAAAACATCTATGAAAACCACCATCCCTTTATTTCTTTATCAGGAGTTTTCTCACTGCTGGCCGGATTTGTGCTTAATCTTTCCCTGACAATGCCTGTAAACTGGCACTAAATACAATCGGGTGTCGTTTATCAGATCCCATGTCGGGACTGCCCTCACCACTACTCAGGACAGACCGGACGACGACATAGCTCACGAATAACGGAACATAAGCGGGCAGTCCGGAGAGGCGACCCGTTGTCTCAGGTCGCCACTCATACCCTGGTGGTAGGCCATTAATTCAACTTCGCGAGCACGCGAATAGTAGCGCGGGCCAGCAATAAGACGGTGAGAACTGTTGAAGGCCTGGGTGTCTGACGCCTACTCAATCAACAGGCACGTTGACATACCCCTCTGATATCACGCGCTCCGTTCCCGCGGCCAAGAGGCGAGGCCCAATTTCCAGCCAAGGGTGCACGCAGTCACGCCGCCGTAAGACGGCGTGGGACTCAGCTTATCGCGAATACCACCCTCTGCACTCATATCACCCCCCTTCATGTCTTGACTACAAAAACTGCTCATTTGATGCCGCATTCTCACAGCCTCTGACGATGGCCTCCTGTACGAGACCGAAAGCTCAGACTTATACACATACTATTTCAGAGATCGTTTGTTCACCTTCTTTACAATTATTATTATTATTAACTTTCGCTTTCTGTGTATCTCCACTTATCTCAAAACTTAAAAGGTGGAAACTGACCTGCCCGTTTAGGCCCTTCCGGCGCACGACGAATTTCCTACAATATAAAAATATTCAGGGAGTCATATTATGTGAGAATTTCCCCTAACCTCGAATCGAGGGCGCGCCCTCATTCAAGCGTTTCCATTGGCTGGCTTAAGCAGCATTCTAGAAATCATTTTCCTCTGAACTTTTATTAGCACCGTCTGCCCAGCCGCAAATTTCCGGTTTTTAATTAACTGCAGCGTAAGCACTTTGGCTGGCGGCATAAAGCGGTCGAAGACCAAGCGGCGTCCTCTTGAGCCAACAGAAAACTAGGCCATGGGGTTTGTAGAGGCGCTGTGGTATTGCCGGTCGTGTTCTATTTGAAAAAAGACCGGTCTCGATTGTGCAAAAGTAACGGTCTCAAGATCACAGTTTGCAAAGGAAGAAAAACCACACGTCGGCTCAAACAACCCCCGTTGATGTAATGCCCGGTGAAGAAGACAATTTGCCCTTACTGTTATTGCCTCTACTTTGAGGCCAATAAAAAAACACGTCTGAGAAAAAGGTCGATCAGACAGAAGCCCATTCGCTGGACAGGTTAAGCGCTGCCGCAAAACCTAAGTTGGTAGAGCACCCGGCACAACATCCAGAGATCTGTCGCTCGATCCCATCTACTAATATGCCCTCTGAATGTCTAAGGTTCCCCCTCCCAGAGTCTATTTTAGGGCAGAAGAATGTTTTAAATTCGCATTTTAAGTTGTTTAGACATTAGTAATGGTCAGCAGTACGGTCAATTAGTAAACCAGCCCTTCTTTGCCCTGTCCACATATTTCCTCTGACATATTTGATTAACCGTTGAGTCTATTAGTAGGGAGAATGGTTTTGAAGTCCTTGTGATGGGAAAAACAGGTAGTTGCTGGGACTTGACCATGCCGACAATTTCGTCGCTACGTGTAAAATGCTTCATGTTGAAGCTGTTGAGGCTTTAAAACGTTTGCGAACTCGACTTCAAAACCTGCTCGACAGCAGGTGGGTGCAAGTCGTATTGCACAATTGAGGTAGAATGCTATCGCCCATGCAATTCTATCATCATTTTTTTTCTAAAGACTTGTTAGTACACAAAGCATCCGGCACAGGCATATCCAGTCTCTAGACAGAGTCATTTCAGCCTGCGTACTCGTTCAAGGAAAACTGTTCTGACCACGAACATGCTCGATACGCAAGGGTTAGCTGGTTCGGTTTTTTTCTGCATCGAAGTGCCCGGTTCGATGTCTCAGTTGTAAGCTTGTCGGATTAAAATTTACCGCAACTGACTGCTACACAAAACTCACAGATTATGCGTGGATTGTTTTATTGACAAGCGCAAGGAAGTTAGAATTGCTACTTCCGATTTATTCGCCGTTCTTTTCCAGGCATTTTCAATTTACCAAATTCAGAGCTTTCCAGCCGGTCCGGTAGCTTTCGGAGGCAGAAGAAAGCTAACACCCGAAGTAGCCAGTACATCCGGCTACCTCACATCTACAAGACCCGGCGGACATCTGGTACGAACGCCTAAACTCGCCTGTCGGATCGTCAAACCCTGCAGCTGCATACACAGTTACGAAAGCCATAAGCCGACCGGAACTCCCGATGGGCTCAGACAGTGAATAGGACAGACGTAGTCAAGCATGCAGATGAAAAGTCAGCGCGCTCTAGGGCGACCACCACCCCCTTGAAAGCTGGCTGCGCGTGAGGCTAATTAGTATTTAGAACAAACATCGATGAAGACTAGGAAGATTGAAATGGTCATATCTTGCCCGTCAATCCTCATAAATCAGCCATATCCTTACCCCAGTTCTGCGTTTAAAATTATGAGTGGCCACGTGGAAAGCTAAAAAAATTGGAAGTAAGACGGATATACTTGGAGGTTGTGCTCATTGACCTCTTTTGGTGGCGAAAGAACAGTCAAATATCATCATCGGTTTATATTTGTTGTTTAAAATTTCACTATTATCAATTACTCGATTCCGCAACCAGTATGGGGGAAAATTAAAGCAAATTTCTGTGTTTACCCTGTAATTTGAACACACCGGTAGGAATCTAGCCCAAGGTTCCGACGTTTTACGCATTGTTATACCGGCAGAAAGAATGTGAGGGTGGCAAGGCTGACTTATCACTACTTAATGTATTATAGCTGCTACTTATTTCACTTCGGTAGGTTAAATTAATTTGGTCTGTTGTCGCTGTGGTTTTGTGCCGGATACTCGGGCTCGCGTTCCTACTAAAAGCATATTCCGTTCGGCGAACGGTTCATACCAGAGGCTTTCTGCTGACTGGTCTTATCATACTGTTCTGTCGGTGGCCACTCATACTGGCCCTATGGTTATACTAGCGACTTTAAGGCCTGACATACAAGAACCAAATGCTTTTGGGTCCGCACGCAATCCGATGATTAACTAGCTGGGGGACAAACCGTACAGATGTGGTTGGTCGCACGATTTGCCTTATGTAGATGGTGGCTTTCCGTGTGGTCCGTAACTAGCACTCAATTTTCATATGTGACACATTGAAACCAGGCTCTGCCTAGCGGCTACATCGCGGTAGCCTCTTCGACCAGCATGCTGAACCAGATAGGGGTATCCGGTGTCGTATAAGTCCTCACAGTCGGCAATTCTGCTTCTCTTTCCATTCCCACCCCATCCTACCTCAGCTTTCGAAAAATCCTACGAGAAAGACAGCATGCGATCCCATAGGCTGCTTCGGCTGGGATGTTTAAGCAACCAAAGTTGGGGACAGCATTGCCTATGCTCCTCGCGGGAGGAGGGACATCTGCAAAAAGGCCGTCGCTCGCAGATGTACAACCGACGGTCGAATCAAGATAATGAAAAATAACTTCAATCCATATTACCTCCGCCGCACACCCCAGGCTACTTCAGTGGCTCTGTTCACTCTGGCAGCCTGTTATGTGTGTACTCATTTAGATAATCTGAGGAGCAACCAGCCGGAAAGGGGAACGTCGCTGGTCACTCGAGAGCTAGCGTGTCATAATGTGGATACAGGTGCTCTCAACGAGACCCGATTTTCCGAATAAGGCCAACTGGTGGAGGTGGGTGCAGACTGCACCTTCTTCTTGAGCGGCCACTCAAAGACAGAGGGACAATACGTTGGCGTCACATTTACCACTCAGAATGACATCGTGGGATGACTGCCTGTCCTTCCCCAGAGCATTAATGATCGCCTCATGAACCTAGGCATACCTCTTCCGGGAGCACAATTCATTATCTTTCTCCATTGACCAACAATGACGAAGTCGAGAACAAGTTCTGCGAGGACCTGCAGGTCCTTTTAGCGACTGCGCCGAAGGCGGACAAGTCGACCGTCCATGGTGACATGCTTATGGAATGCACCAACGATCAACCAATCTGTGGGGTGGCACACGAGTCGGCAAAAACAGAAAAGATTGTTTTCTCCATGAGGTCAGAAAAAGGTGGCCGAGAACTTGCATAAACCGTAGGGTCGGCAAAACATCCCAAGCAGCCTGAGTAGGGGTACCTTTTCGGCTCTCAAAGGATATCAGAGGCACTAATCGACCGTTCAGTGTCTGAATGCGGAATCAGTGTACAGACTCGGTTTCCTGTTTAACTTTAACATGCTCACTTCTTGCAGCGACCTTCGTTGGCACTGTAGAGGTTTAGGCCCGGCCCTGCCCATAGGCAGTTGACAGTCGCCTAATACGACAGCGAAGAGAGCATGTAACTTATAGCGAGCGAGACACACCGAATCTTTGAATATTGACTACTTATTGCTATCTGAACACCTGTGGGATCTAGAGACCAGAGACTTTAATGAAGAGTGGTATGTATCTCCTCCGGCCTTGCAGACTAAATCGATGAAAACACTCGTGTGACTTAAAAAAACCCTATCGCAACCGACAGCGCGCAAGCCAGTGTCTCGCCGACAGGGCATGCGTGCTCGACATTCCATGGGCCTCGGGTTCGAACCGACAACCCTCCTGGCCGGGAGCTGTCAGACGACTGAAGGCAAGCTAGGAGTGCCAATCTTAGCCTCCTCTGCTTTTTCAGTCACACACCTCTCTAACTCTTATATAACACCTTCCCGATGCACTCCAATAATCGAAATTTTGAACAAAAATACTACGGCTATACAGGACGGTTGTAGGTCATCACACCCAAAGAGATCTCGTTTGGCAGGGCGGAAAAAGTGCTACTGAACGGGCAAATGAAGGAAAAACCCAAAGGCCTTCAAAATATGACTGCTACTGCCAATAACGGCGTACTTGATGGAGGACTTGAGACCGCTGACCCTGGTAGACAAGCGTCTACTCCACATCAAGAAGTGGTGGTTGGCAACTTTTCCCCTCACTCCCGATCTGATCAGAAATAGGTTACACCTGCGACTAATCTAAACGACAGTTTAACAAGAAACTCTTGCGATCGCCCCCAATTAGATGAAGATAAAAAAGAACGATCGGATTGGTCGACGCATTCACGAGAATCCCAGAGGCGTAAGAAAAAAGTTGGGGGCGTGAGTACATACCTGGGCTTTGGGAAGTGACGAAGAGGACAAGAATTAGCTCTTATTTGAAAACTTTACAAGAATACGATATGCCATATAAACAAGAATAGGGTAAAAACAAATTCAGGTTTCACTCGTCCAAAGTCGGATAGTCTTGTCGCCCTCAAGGGAACCGGATGCAATCATGTTCTGGTGGGGATGGCAGGCGGTACACAGGACAACATCTGCAAAGAGAGGACATCAGCACTAAAATGGACGACGTACCTGTGTGGCCCTCCAGTTTTTGCACGACTTCTTTTGTCTGCAGATCCCAAATGTAGATTTTATGATCTTCAGAGCCTGACACGACCCACTACCCGGGGGGAGAAGGAATGGAGAGTAATCGGAAAACGAAACTGACCTTTCCACCGGTTACCGAGAAGTTGGCAAAAATACAGTACTTCTCATTTACATGACCTTTGTACATCTTAAGGCAGCGGCCCTTGCTGTAGTCCCACAGTTTCAGGGTGCTGTAAGAGATGCAGCTGCATGAAGGCATACAATCAAACCCCACCTATCCAGATTGGCGGCAAGAATATACTTTCCGTTGGGAGAAAATTTTACAAAGGAGACTGGAGGGTTGTCCTCGTCTGAATACATTAAATAAAATGCAAATTTACCCACCGATTAGGGTTTTTAAGCATTGACCTGAGGCCGTATCCCAAATTCGGCTGAACCAATTAGGTGAACTGTGGAGGAAAACTTACCACAAACCGTCGTAGCTGCAGGATGCAATCAAGGCGCCATCCCTATTAAAATGGACCTAAGGAGGGGGGAAAGTTAAGTTATCGAAAAAAAACATACGGCCGTGACTGGATCAGAATGGGCAGGCAGAGTCCGGATACATCTACCCGTCTTAACGTCCCACAACTTGACGCTCTCATCAAACTTTTAAACAATAAATTAGACCAACGTAAAAGAAGGCAACATACGGAGCCGGATACGATGAGATTCGACTGGGGATTAAAGTTGCAGCAAAAGACATAATTACTGTGGCCCTTCAGAGTTTTCAGACACTGGCCTGTTGCAAAGTCCCAGAGCTTTAATGTCTTATCATCGGATGCACTGCAGAGGAAGCGAGAGTCCGCGGACCAGGCGACATCCGATATGCCCTACAGAGAAAAAGCACTGAGGGCCTAGGGAAGTATACACTTACCAGCTTATGGCCAGTGATAGTCTTCTCAAATTTCCCATCCTGGGAGCTCCAAATCTTCAATAATTTGTCGGCGGCTGCAAGTGGAAGGGTTGGGTAAAAAGTGGGTTGAGGGCTTACAGGAACTTGCTAGCCACTGGCCGCATTCGCTGAATTTCAATGAAGACACGGCCTTTGTGTGACCAGTGAGGGTGAACTTTTGAGTATAGGCTGGCTGTCCAAGAAAATGTCACTCAAAAGGCATTCTGAGTTACCAAAACCTGCTCACTCATCGCTTATGCGGCATTGATGTGAAAAGATAACGAAGGTGTTGGTCTGAAGTGAAAGGGAAAGATAATGTGTGCAATAGCATTGAAAAAGACCAGATTTCCATCACAGAGGCTTGCAAACGAAAAATGAAGGTTAGAGAGAGCAAGACACGTCCAATGCCAATATACTGTTGGCGGCATCTGAAAATCAAGCGATTACAGGAAGGGTCGGAAGATACAGCGCAACAGGGCTGTTGGTCTATGGTTGGAATGGTTGCACAAAAAGCGGAGGGCGTCGTTGTGGCAGAGTACGACGTCATGTCATACACGACTCTGTGCGGCCAATGAAGACGATTTCGGTTGCAGTCTCTACGACTTAGAGTTTATTCGGTCCATCTAGGCGGTGCAAAACACCTGTGTGGCGCAAGTACATCTGCACATGATTGTCTAGGTCGTTACTACCCGAGACGGACATAAGCAATCGAGATTTGCTGTAACAGACGCCCTCATACCACCCTAAGATCTTCATGATAAACTCATCGTACAACCTAGTCCGGGAGTTGGTGATTACAGTGAGATGTTCGTGTTTTCAAAGGACTCTTGCCTTTATAGCTATGATGTGTAGGCGCCTATGGGTAGCCAAAATCAAGTAAACGTCAGGATTGATGTTATAAACCCCTCTGTCTTTAAGGAGGGAGCAGAGGGGGGTTTGTCAGGTTGACGAGGAAGGGACCCTAAAGACCGCAAGTCTTAGAAGCGAAGAGACGGGTCCAAGGAAGTAGTCTTGAAGAAGGAGACACGATCGCTGGAACAAGAGCTTTATTCACCTGACGTTTCGGATTCCTGCTCGAATCCATCATCAGAGCAAACAGCAGATACGGGTGATTCACGCACAAAGGGCTGCAGTATTTATAGGATGCAGTCGCCATGCAACCGCATTCCTATGAACATTCACGCCCCCCCCCCTTCATCCGGGATCGTTGCACTTGGTGTGCTAATTGTTTGATAGCCGACATTCACGTCGTTAATTGCTGCAATTTCATCACGTGCGTTGGATGTTGGTGTGATGATTGCTCGACCATCTGACGCATCGACCCTGTTGTTGGGACAAGTGTTCACATGTGCGCTCCCCGCGTGGTTAATTACTCCGCCTAAGCCACGTTTCAGCACCGAGTATGCGAGGGGAAGTTCATTGCACTGGTTAATTGACTGGGGGCCGATAAACCATGATTCAAGTAGCTCCCGGCTCACGCGGTTGTCATCTCTTGCGAAAATTTCAGCCTCGTCGAATTTGAATGTGTGGCCAGATCTCGTCGAATAAGCCGCAACTTGGGAGCTGGCGTCATTTCTCCGCACTGCTGCAGCGTGTTCGGCCATTCTCGTTCGGAGCTATCTTCCGGTTTCTCCGACGTAGATGCGTTGCCCACAACTGCACCCGATCCGATAAACGACTCCAGACGTTTCTTGCCGTGGCAGCTGGTCTTTCGGCTTTATTACCAGACGCCTGATGGTTGCCCCCGGGTCTGTGTGCAACTCCAGCCCCAAATGGTGCGAGAAGGCGGTCAACAGCTTTCGAAAGGTTCTTGACATATGGAAGCGCCCGCCAAGATTTTGTTTCGGTGCGGTTAGGCCTTTCGTGCCCTTTGCGTATGCACCGGTTGACAAAGTTGCGTGGGCAGCCATTGGCTTTGAATACCCGTCGAAGATATTGTAGTTCGGCAATCTTGTCTTCGGGCACACTGCAGTGCGTTTCGACACGCCGATAGAGCGTCCTTACACAACTGTGTTTGTGGCTGATTGGGTGGTTGCTGTTGAAGCTCAGTACTTGCATAGTATTTGTCGCTTTCCTGAACACTTTGGTCTTTAGTCCACCAAAGATCCCGGACACGGAGGTGCTGAAAGGGACGGGAGTCCTCAGCATCTACGGCATACTGAGACATCTACAACTGCGCCGGAGCAGCCATTTGGTGCGCATGGACGACGAGCGATTATCCAAACGACTCTTCTGCGGTGACTTATCCGCAGGTTCCCGCCTACAAGGCCAAGTCGAGTGTTACAAGGATACCCTGAAGACTTCCCTGAGGCGCCTGCATATCAACACAGACAACCGGGAAGACCTCACCCGCGACCGACCGACCTGGCGGAGAACAGTGAAGACCGGCGCAGGGATCTACGACGCGAACCGCATCGCCGCCGCCAAAGCCAGACGCGAGGCTCTTAAATTTCAATTGCCCCCAACTCGCAACGCAAACGCTCAACCACCCTCCGACCTGTCCACGCTATCCGCGGACGTTCCCGGTACCAAACAGTCTCATTGGACATCTTTGTACCAACTGCGGCACCCGGAAGACACCACCCGATGTCCTCCCGTCCATATTTGCCTCGCCCTCCCTCCCCCACGCTGACCATCAACACTGACCACACTCCTGAACCCCCACTGCCATCCTCCTCCGTCGCCTCAACATCCGCTGCGACGGCTCCTGCACCCACTGCCACTGCACTCAATCCTGACACACCGAGAAACATCAGCTTGCCCACCACCAACACCAGCGACGTAGACTCGGTCCATACCTGTCCTCATTGCGATCGCATCTTTACCTCACACATCGACCTGGTTGGTCACTTGCGGGTCCGTTGCACGGAGACTGGCAAACCAGGGCCTGGAACACCAACCCACAGTCGCCCCATCCGCCTCCACTGTCCCCGCACATTCACTCACCGCACGGGCCTTCCAGGGCACATGAGCATCCGGGAGAGCGGAAGTCACCGCAATCTCGAAACACCTCGCACATCCTGCAAACACCATGCCTGGTCCAACTCACAGCCCGCCGACAAGCGCGCTCACCAGCAGTAGCTTTGCCAACATCACCGAAACCGACACAGACACGTCCGACTTTCCCTGCCCACACTGACCCCGTACATTAACCTCACACATTGGTCTGGTCGGTCACTTGCGGATCCATCACGCAGAGGCTAGTGAGTTAGTACCTGGAGCACAAGCATGCATTCGACGCATCCGCTTCAACTGCCCTTACTGCACCTGCAGATTCACCCACCGCATTGGCCTACCAGGCCACATGTGCATTCACGAAAACCTGCGGTAGAAAACCGCCGGCTACGGCACACCATCAAATCTTCCCCCACCAGCACCTGCATCACACAACATTATCATCCACCACAAGAATCCAACTGCCAACTCCCACGCAAGTGGGAAGTGCGCGTCTCGGCTCCCTCCCCATGCGGCTCCTCTGCTGCATGTGTGATTCGAGTCTGAGACCATCACGGCGCGTCAAGCACTGTGTCTTCGAGGGCTGCTGGCTGACGTCTCGACTCAGTCCACGCAGTCTGCCCAGTTGTGTGTTTGTGTGGAGCGGCAGACTGGTGAGCCGAGAGCCAGGTTGAAACGGCTTCTTAACGTGGCCTACGGCATTCTCACGCATGTGAGATATACGTCGCTCAATCTCTGTTGTGTGAAATCCTGGTGCTTGTGTTTGTGGGATCAGGTCGTGCATGTAGCGCGCGCAGACAAGGTCATTAGATATATTGGTCACCGCGCCCACTCCCCACACCTGTCAACTGACCGGTTCGGACAGTGATTAGGGCCTGGGAATGGAGAGGGAGAGTGAGTTCGACGACTCAGCGCATTTTCCTCACTATAAACAATCTGACGCAATTGAAGCTATCACGGTGCGCTAAAAGCCGCGGCTTGAAGGGTTGCCAACTGACGGGATCACTTGGACTTCGCAGTCGGCAGTGTTCTGTGTTTCTGTGGAGCGGCCGGTAGGCGGTCTAAGAGTCAGGCTGCGATGGTTTCTTCTTAATGTGGCCTTTATGGCACTACCACTCACTGAGATCCGAGTCGCACCTCACCTAGAGGCGACTTCGGCCGCGCAAGTCCCTTTTGTTGTTGGCTATAATCCTGGTCATTTTCTGTGTGAACTAAGGGGTGTGGAGTGCAGTGCCAAAGTGCGGGTTCGACCATGCCATCCACCTGCGCCCTCCCCGCCTCCGGTATTCTTGATTCTGCCTTGATACCGGGTCCAGGTGGGTGAGGAGGATGGGAGAGTGTGGTAGATGCTGCGCAAGTGTGCATTCATCATAAACTAAATCATGCGCAAGTCACTGTGCCTGCTTCACCTTGCTCTGGAGCACACGGTGGACATCGTCGGATGCGACGACCGAATTGCCATGTTACATCCTCTAACCACTTTCTAGAAATGACGCAGACAACAGCCACCTCCGACGTGTCATCTCGTAAAGCCAATTTGCTCGAACCGAAATATACTCTCCAATACATTTGCCAAAAGATGCTGGGCCACAGTGAGTGCCGTCGCAGAGAGCAGACCTCTGGTGAGAGGATTGATGGATTGATAACGCAAGGGTCGCTCGACTGTGTCGTGATCGCAATTTCAGGACGTTGTGTCGTGAGACCGGACTCTGTGCGATAGGACAGCAGCGAATTCTGGAATAAAACCGTGATCAGAAAAGCGCTTCAGTTAACGGTGATGTCAGAAAACCAGTTTTTCAGTACACAGGATGACTCATTACCTGTCAAGGAGACTTTTGGAGCGATAGGGAAAGTGGAAAACAAGGTAGCCGGCAGGAACAGCCTTCTCTTGAAAATCTACAAGAGCAGTCTATCAACATTTACGGTCTTCTGAAGTAAATTCCGGTCATCGTGAACGGCCAGAATCTTTAAGGAACAAATTCTCTTGCCTTGAGTCAGATTACGTGAAAAATGAGCGAAAGGTCTTCGTCCGACTTTGTCTAAACCTCTAGAACCTGGGCGAAGTCGGTCAGTAAAGCAAGCTGCGAGTATACCAGACACCGGTCACGACAGTCATTATGTGCGGATAGGATACGACCCGTGCGCTCTGAAGACATTCATAGCTTAAATGTGCCTGATAGACAATGCCTGCACATTAGTCCCCGAATTCGTTCCAGCTATAGCGTCTGCGAAGAACGACTGCACAACTTGTTTGAAACAATCGGTAAGTGGCGCTCCTTTGCTCAATTAAAATTTTTCTACCGCGTGCTGCTTCAGCCTGAAAGCGAAGTCGTTCGTGATGCCACCCCGCCCTGCCTTATGAATGCTTCAAGGTGGTCAGATGACGATGCGGGTAGGCGTGGCTAAAACTGATCTCGAGCGGATCTCTAACCCTATAGGATCTAATCTGAGAGGACGGCATGCTAATTCGCTCAATTTTTTCTCGAAAGACTGACACAAGCAGACCGCAATGGAAGGCGATCACACGCGACCCAATAACATTTAACCGGCTGAATTGCGATAGGCAGCGTTGCGAGTGAAGGTAAGTAAGGAATGTGGGTGGTCGAGTCCACGGATTCCGCAACACTATAACACCCTTCGGCGAGGACTGAGTGATCGTGCGTACAAAGTGGCCTCACTCGACTGACGGCTCCGCTTCCGTTCATAGATGAAAGTCTACAGCAGGGGGCAGGTTTCACCAATATGTAATTCCAGCTGAGCTGGTTAAACGACCAGCCGGACTGTCCACATTCCGCTCAGTCCGATGCGTGGTGCCGATACTGGCAACGACCATGGGCCAGACGACAGTTTCGATCGCACATGCCCTTAAGCTCACTTATCATTCGCACCACAGTCGTCACGAACAGGAAGCCCTGATGCAAAACATTCACGACAGACCAACACAGCCGAGGCCCAAGGTAAGAATGCAGTACTACATAGTGCTACATAGTACTTGGCACGACTGCGATCATGCCTGATCTAGCCAGCCTCGACAATGTCCTGGGCTGTACCTCTCCATGCGTGACGATCCGCAGCAGCAGGTCTGGACAGTTCAACCCGTTCTCTTCGCCAACGACGGAGGCCGAAAACCTAAGATCCAAGAGCTGCTTCTATGTCTTCACGAACTGTACCGAGCCAGATTTCGGGTTGACTTCCTCTTCGACGTCCCCAATAGGGTAACGATGCCGAATCGAGGGCAGTAACGCTTAGGTTTCGAGGTAGGCGAAGAAGAATGTGTCCGAACTATCTCAGTCGCCTTTCTTGGGTGGACTGGGCCATCGCGAACTGTCTCATTTGAAAGAAAGTCGGTGCAATTCACTCCAAGGATGGTCCTTAAGCAGTGGTGGTCAAATAACTCCAGTTTTAGCTCGTCCTCTACGCGCACAGTCCAGTATTCATAACCATGGCGAAGGACAGACCGGACAGATGCACAGTACACGCGAAACCTCGTGGCGACGGAGATGTGTCGGATCCATAGGCATTTTCTAAGGCTTGAGAAAACCCGGAGGCAGCATCATTTCGGGAGACAACGTCGTCCTTACTCCATCCATTCAGCAACAGCTTCGACCCGAGGTATTTAAAATTGCCTACCTTTTCAAGCTGACAGCTATCAATCTCGAGAGGTTCCTTCTTCTGGTCAGAGATGCAGCTTGAAAACACCGGCGTTCATGGATAGACCAACCGATTTAGCGACTTCGTTCGCCCGTGACACCATAGACTGCAGATCAAGAAGACCTGAAGCTAGTAAGGTGATATCGTCAGCATAGTCGACGCCAGTCTGCCGGTGTCCGGATGCAAATCCAACACCGTCATTTCCGCGTATGGCCCTCCCGAGAATCGAGTCAATAGCGCAGTTTGACAGAATGGACGACAAGATACAACCTTGCCAAACGTCAGACCAGACACCGAACGGATAGGAAAGACTGGTGCGGACCTGTACTCGCGCAGTGCAGGAGCGGTAATAGGCCTTGATCACGGCGATGATTTCTGACGGTATACCATCTAGTGCTATTATCCGCCACAGGGACCCACGATGGACGGAATCAAACGCGACACCAAAGCAAAATAAAACAGACGACCGTTGGTTGTTGGTAGCTATGGCGAATTTAAGAATGCGCGTCAGTGTAAATACCTGGTCCACGCATCCAGATTCAGCACGAAATCCGGCTTGGTTGGGCCTCGTCCTAGAGTCACGCACTGTCTGGAATCTCCTGACTAAGACAATAGCGAAGATCTTCGCAGTAACGTCGCTAAGGCTTATGCCGCGGTAGCTCTCGCATCTTGCCTTATCTCCCTTCTTGAGGACGGGCGGAAGGATGCCCGAGTCCAGTTATCAAGAACGACCCCATCTCTCTACGCCTGTTCAAACATCCCATGGAGCCAGAGCACCAGCTTCGACACAAAATTTGTAGATTTCAGCGGGAGTACTATTATCTATGGGCGCCTTGTTGTTGCGCAGCTTTTGTATTGCATCGGCGACTTCTCCGTCAGAAAGGGGGCGGGAAGGTCGCGTAATACTGTATGGGTTGGAGAACGATAAAACTCCACTGCAGAGAAGAACGAGCGTGTGACGGGTTCCGCATCGAAGTTGAGATGGCGCTTGAGGTGCTCACGTCAGTGTTCGACCTTGGACGAGTT